CAGCCGGCAGCGAATCCCGGCATTGGACAACTCGTAAGGAGTAAAAGTCAGGCCTACAGTCCGTTCTGCAGTGTTTTGTCTCAGATTCCTGGGTGTTACACCTTATGTTTGTGTTGAAGCTAAGCTTAGGTAGGCGTTTAAGGAGATGTCCATAAGTGGTAAGGCTACTGTAAGCCACTAGAGATGAAGGCCACCAGTCAGTTCGCTGCTTTGAACTCTTTTGAAAATTGGCGGGGTGTGAGCCAGTTTTCAAATTTCCGGTAGTTTGCCTCGGCTTAGCGAGTGTAAGAATATCACGCTAAGCGGTGTTGCCAAGATTGAAGCTGCTTCCCTCGGTACAGCAGAATGAACCATATCTGAGCCAAGAGAAGTGTCTTTTCTTAGGTGCTGCATTATCCGGTACACCAAGTCAGAGCTCAGGTTCACTTCGCAAATCCTTGTGCAGTTGCAGATGAAGCTTTCCTCAATATAGTTAATGTGGGTCGGTTGAAATGTCCAAGAGTATTGTTCAGCCAAAAAGTTAGCGCCGTCACCGTCGTTATTGGTCGGTCCATCAGAACCTAGCTGTTCGGAAAATCCAGTTTTGGCTTGACGAAGAGGGGCTGCACAATCGAACAAGCCTTTCGGATTGGAGGCGAATATGTTGACAAGTTTTATCTGGTATTGAAGCCCGTCTTTTCTTATAGTATTCGTGCATATGTTCCTCATATGTTTGTATTGCCTGTACGCGCCGTTGTTACCAGTTCGTTTGTATTCCTACCAACAGTGCCTTTTGCGACTTAGCAGACGAAGAGTGTGGTTCTTGATGATTGTAGGTTGCTTGTGGATTTTCAGGACCGTTTGAGCAGCTGACTGCTTCGCAGTACAAAGAGCGTGTGCAGTAAGAAATTCCAATGAGCATCCACATCAAGTTGAGGGTGAACACCCCAATCCACCTGTTGTAGATAGTCATGTAGAGCTGACACATCGAACCGTTTAGTGGGATGTCTTAGCTCAACTTTGCTGATGAAACTGGAGGCTATGACGGTGTGATTGCTTCTCCCCATGGTAGCCATAATTGAGAGGTTGACAACTAGGAATTCTTCGTTTGTAAATACCCATTCTAAGCGCGATGGCATCCGACTGTCATGTTGCCGACTTCATATATTCGAATAATCCCAGATCCTCTATGAGGCTGAAGAACCGAGCTTCAACTGAATTTTCACCTCCAATATACGTGTGTTCCACGAAATTGACTTCAAGAAGATTGAGGTTCCCTAGAATCAGGATATGAGTGAATCCGATGCCACTACAACCCTGACTAGGCACCCCAAAGTGGTGGACAATCTTACTGAGCACCATACGGATTCATCAAGATTGATAAACCCTTGGCTGTGAACTTGGTGTACCTCCAGCCAGGACCGTAAACATATGGCTACTCCACCCTCAATCCCCGTTGTTCTGTTGTTGCGAAACTAAGACATCGCAGGTATTGCTAGCTCCTAGTTCGTAAACTGAGAAGATATCCACGTTTAATATACTCCTATCAGATGAGCATTATTAGCATTGCTAAGATCACGTAGTTAATCCATTTTATTTGGTAAAGTGACGGCGTTCATGTATAAGCTGTTTATGCTTTCGACTTGAAAGGCTTGATCTACTTCTTCCTGTTTTTCTGTATGAGCCTTATGTGAATGGACAGGTAGCCTACCTATACAAGGTATTCGAAGTTGACAATCCCTGTATTGTGCACTTTTTTTATTACCAAGACAGTCCACAAGCGGAATGATCAGCTCTAACTTGCCTTTGTGCTTATTCCTGGCGTCGTATGGCCTATCCGGGTGCATATGGATTTCAGTTGGCACCTATTGGCACAAAATGCTTCCAGAGTTGCAGCCGTCATATGGGAGGATGGAACAGTTATCCTCATTAGCCAAAGTTTAGAATAGCCGTCCTTCTTGGCTAATCTCGTCACATGTTGAGTCAGTATATTTTTGAGCCTCAAGGATTGCTCCATGAAATTTCATTTCTTAATATCAGAGTTCGTTTGACTAGGGTCCATGCTTTCCGATATACCTTGCATAATTATTTTTCTTCCGCAAAAAAACGCGCTAGATTCTTTTGGGACGTCCTGGATGAGAGTACACTCAGAATACGGTATGTCGGGCAGTATTCTTACATTCCCATCGGATTCCAGTATATGGCTAGCTAGCTGAATATCCTCTACGTCGGTAGCATTCTTAAGTGAAACACGAAGTAGCCTCGGATGATTTTGATTCCTTTTTCCCGAGTGAGCCGTGTGACTTTCAAAGGCTCTATTCTAGGAAGTTCAAGTTTCTTGTTCAATTCACCCCAGAGCACCATGTCATTTTTGTACTGCGAACTGAGAGGAAAGTTAGGGTTGTCTCTGAGGTTCATGATTTTGAGAGTGTCATGACGAACCGTTATTATTTTCTCAGGTTTTCCGGTGCGTTCAAGTTCAGCACCTTGTTGTTTGAAGGTCGAAGCAAGTTTCCGAATCTTAGGCTCTATGATGACCGGACTGAAATTCCTAGGGGTAGACTGTGCGACCAAATCAATAGTTGATTTCCGCACAACACTTGAGATGTTCGGCTTAGATGGCACCGCCTGGTTATTTTGGCTCTGTTAACGTGGGTCCAATCACCTACAGGTTTTTTGGGAACCACTGTGCAATCAAGGACCCTGTGCTACGTCCAAGTTTTTGCTCGTTCCCTTTATTGAAGTACGGTATGTCGTTCTATTTGCAATTCGCGTACCCCAAATTACAATAGAACCAAATTCCAATTAGATACCAAAGTTTATTCGCGATTCACAAATAGTCGACCCAAATGTCGTTCTAACAACAATAATTATAATAATTACAAAACAAATCTTCATTTTGTAGGTTCTCGGAGCAAAACCTCCCAAATACCAAACCAATGACAAAGAGAAACCAAAATGTTCAAAAAGAATGTGATTCTCGTGATTATAAACGTTCTGTTACTACTGAGGACTCAAAAAGTAAACAGTGTGCTTATTCTGCTCATCCGCAAGGCACAATCCTCGGTCTTACTCTCTTTTTACTTTATGTACATGAATTACAAACTATTGCAAAACCATCCGTTCTACACTTTGCCGATGACATAAAGATTTGCAGACCCATACACAGTTTGTCAGGTAGAATACCATTACTGGATGATCTCAGCTCATTGGTGGCATGGATGGACAGGTGGTCACCAGAAATGAATCCTAAGAAGAGCGTGGTGATGCAATTAAATAATTATGATGATTCGTATCACTATACTATGTGTGAATGAGGGCTACACAAAGTGAGAAACTATAAAGATTTAAGAGTCATAATAAGCAGTGATCTCAAAACCATTAGTCACTGTGAGGCTGCTGCTGCAAAAGGCTATGGGGTATTATGGTCTATTCGTAGGTCTTTCCAGCATTTGGATGATGAAATATTTAGATCATTATACCAGACTTTCGTGCGACCACTTTCGAAACATGGGAATCAAGCAGCTAGTTGTTGTTTCAAGTATGAAACAGATATACCGGAACGAGTTCAAAAAAGAGGTGCTAAGATGGTAAAAGGTCTATCTGGCCTGCTCTATGAAGACAGAATGAAACACCTCAAGTAATTTTTGTAGAATATGGAGTGATCTAATATTGGCTCATCGTTTACTGAACGATGACCTAGATATAACACCTTGGTATTATTATGACCTATCTTTTCCCTTTGTTTAGGACTGATCGTTTGAGAGGAAATTTAAAGAAAATTCAAACAAGAAGATCACATCATCTACCTCTGGAGTTTCATTTCTCGCACCGAGTAGTCCAATATTATAATTTCAATAGTTGAGATCATGTGTCAAATGAAGCTAGGTCACCATGGAAAACCTGGAAGCACTGGACGGTCGTCTCATCCTACTTTGCGACCCCTCAGCAGTGCCCTTCCACGATCCCGCCTTGTGAGATTTAAACCCAGGACTTCTCAGTCTCGCGCGCGAGCGTTTAACCAATGGACGGACCACTGAGCCGGCATCCAACGGTGTGAAAGTGTAACTTCAACCAATCCACGAAATTGAGGAAGCTCACAATAAAACAAAACGACCATCCAAAGTTTCCAGATTTTCCATGGTTGTTTAGGTTCAATTGACTCATGTTCTTAACTTTTGAAATTAATAATAATATCCGCAAAAGGCCTTCTGATATTGATTACTAGAATTCTCTAACAGAATACGTGATATCAGCACCTTCTGCTGATATATTCAAAACGAGTCTGGACTTCTACAGTGTTACAAACGGCATGAACCAATATAAGTCAATAAACTTCCTATCCTTACTCCTGAAGACTAAAGTTTGGAAATTGAAGACGACTGCGCGCACTTCAAAGGGTGCGTAACTACATTGTCTATTTCATGGTCTATATTAGTAAATTTATATGGTATAATTTCATTCCGACTTTTACCTCTCTTTCTAAAACGCTTGACACATGCTTATTACTCGTGTAAAGACCGGTTTGCATATCATATGTGCACAATCTACAAACTTTGAGACAAAAATGACCAGTTTTGAATAAAATTTGAGACATGCTGCAAGAACCTAATTTTATTTTAGATCTGCACTTTTCTCTTGAATTTAGCAAATATTTTGACGGTTATGAGGGTTATTAGTTGCATTTCTTCCACAGGTCTAGGAGTTTCTGGTAAAATTATTCTTGAACTTACCCAAGATCTTCAAACTAGGAAAATTCTTACAAACTACTGTTTAGTGCTTCGATTTTACCAATTTTGGGATCTACATAATTCTCAAGGGTCACGGACATCTTTCACAAAATACCTTCGACTTGTCACTACCTTTGGCAAAATTCTGTGATTCTGCCACATTAATCTTTCAAATTTTTTGTGTAATGGGTATTTTCTCTTTATATTTCAACATAATATAATTAAACTATATACGTCACGACCCATAATTTTCGCTGAAATTCGACCTCATACTCAATACCTTTGTGACAACGTCGTGTTTGCTTTGTTGTCTTTGTACTCTCTTCTCGTTTTTTAGCTACGGTTCTAGGTCTGTTAGTGATATTTACTTGAAGGGGCTTGGCTCTGCCACTTGATTACACTGGTTTCGGTTAGTTGCGTAGTTATCTGTGGGTTTATGCATCCTGTAATCTGAGTGCGATTGTCTGAGGCTGATAAGGTCTGAAACCAGCAGTCATCACATTACTAGAATTTGCTTAATTGTAGTGTGCAAAGCATTGAAAAGGGAACTTTTTCCGGAAGAAGAAAAAGAGAAAAATAATTCGAAGCAGTAATTAAACAAATTATTGACAAAAACATGAACAAACAGAAGTGTAAATACAACAAGTAAACATAGTAAGTTATGAGATAGGAATAGGCTGATTTATTTCTGCCATCAGCCTATAACATGTGGTAGTAATAATGGCAAATGGGTTAGACATGTCTTGGGTACACCCATTCCGAGTGGGGAGTAGTAATCCATGAGTGTGCACGTGGTTGTAAACACTCTTGAAACTATCACACGAGGAGGCTCTAGTCACCTCGGCTAGGAGAGCAATCCAAATAAATTCAACCCTTAATGAGGAAGAGTAATTTTCTGCTTGATTTTGTTTTCTTTGGTATGCAATTTTTCGGTGGTTGCCTGGCGGACCGTGGTGATGAGGTTTTGGTAGTATGCTTATGTTGATGTTGCTTGGCATATTTACTATTCCTTATTCCATCATCGGGTCACCTCTTGTCTTCCTGCAGCTCAACGAGAATAATTCAACGTGTTGAAGTCTACCTTCGTAAGATTTGCTCCTCAATCCTACCACCCGCTTTCTTGCCCCTTCTCTTCATTTATTCGAATAGACATCTTTTCCAGAGTGAGAATGCACTGACGTAACAAACTTCGAGCTTAAGTCGTGCGAATGTTTTATAGTGCTAGAAATAATTTTGGGGTGATAGCACCAAGCCGTTTTCGTAAAAAATGAAGAGTTGCATTTGCTCTGACTGCATCCCCAATGTGGTTCGTGTTAGTGTTCAAGCAAACCTAAGTATTGTGATTCAAAGTCAAATAGGTTGGATCGCGCAAATCCTTCCTTTACTCATCTGATCATGATGTTATAACTAGGCGTCCACTTCTTGTCTCGTTTTATCCTTGTTAGTTTTAAATCTTTGCTCGTTTCCACTTCATGACTTTTATAGCTTTTTTGGCATCTTGATCCAGTGAACTATTATGTGACGTCCTACGTTTTTGTATTTCATTTCAGTTTTAGATTGTTATTGGCTATTCACATTCCTCCAAGTGGTTAGTAACTGTTTATAATGGGCAAAAAACAGCATCAGAAAGATAAACTGTAAGTTGTCTTTATAATTATTTAACTGTACACATGTGTAACGAAGTTATATTACATGTACAGAGTGGAGTACATTGTATGGTGGAAAACGTGCTACTGAGAGTGGTAGACAATTTAAACGTCTTCCATTTCACTGCTGCAGGTGAGTAGGAAATTTGTCTTACAGACTATTTCGTTAACCACTATTGGTTTTTTTTCACTTAAGCATCTCCTTTCAACCCTTTTTAAACCCATATTGTACAAAAGAGGGAATAATTTTCGACTTAGAGTAAGTCAATAAAAAAAATTGAAATGTAATATACAGGAATATTTTACCGTTTTTGAAAAAGTATGGTATTAATCCTGTTACTGGGTTGGTAAGTAAATCAACCTTCCATAACAGTACTTTTTCCTAATTGTTTTCCCTCTTTTTTGTAGAAAATGAAAATGAGTGAATTAATTAAGTTAAATTTTCATCGAAATTCTGATGGGAAATTTCATTGCCCTGTAACATTCAAGGTATTTAATGAAAATACACACATTGTTGCAATTAAGCCAACGGGGAATGTATACTCTTTTGATGTAATGTTGATTTTGAATTTATTTTAGTAACTAAATATACTTACACATATACTTCTAGGCTGTTCAACGTTTGAATTTAAAGGCGAATAATTTTCTTGACTTACTCAATTCTGAATCATTTACAAAAGATGATGTCATCACAATACAAGATCCTACACAACTGGAAAAGTTTAATATTTCCGCTTTTTATCATGTGAAAAATAAAGAAGAACAGCAAAGTTCGTCAAGATAATTTTATTCATTATTAATCAATTCACCATGATATTTTGTTTAGATGAAGGCAATGTAGTAGTTATACGTTCCTTAAATCAAGAAACCAAAGAAACTTTAGCTGAATTGCCGAAAGAAATCTCAGTACCAGACTATATGTATTCAACTAGGAAAACTTCACTAGACACAGGAAAAAAGCGTGACGTTTTTAATACAGTAAAAAAGCACACTTTTATTGTTACCAGTTACCTCTTAATCCATTCTCTTAGGCTACTTATTCAACTGGTCGAGCAGCGGCTTCACTTACGTCAACTGTTATGGAACCAGTAACAAAAATTGAACCGGGTTTGTTTTAAAATTCACTTAACTGATAAAACTGATATGTTCCAATTTTAGCGATTCTCGAAGATGATATAGTCCGATACAAATATGTGAAAAAGAAAGGCTACGTCAGTTTGGTTACATCACACGGAAAGTTAAACCTTGAGTTGCATTGCGATTTGGTCCCCAAAACGTGTGAAAATTTCCTACGTCATTGTTCTACAGGTTACTATAATGATACAAGTTTTCATAGACTAATTCGCTACTTCATTGTATGTGCAGTTTATTGTTTGTGAATAAAGTTCATTATGGTGTTGTTTTTAGGTTCAGGGAGGTGATCCAAGTGGCACTGGGTTTGGTGGTGATTCAGCATGGGGTGGATCTTTTGCAGACGAGTTCGTTCCTAATTTAAGTCATGATACACGTGGTATTGTATCTATGGCTAATTCTGGACCGAATACTAATCGATCTCAGTTGTAAGTAGAAATTGTGCATTTATTTTATTCAAAATATTTTTTCAGCTTTATTACTTTCCGAAAGTGCAAGCATTTGGATCGTAAGCATACTGTATTTGGCAAGTATGTCCCGTAACACTGATCGTATATATATTATAATTAAAATTTAGGGTCGTTGGAGGTTTAGATTTCTTGGGAAAAATTGAAATGATGGAAACCGATAAAGATGATCGACCTTTGGTAGGTGGAGTATATTAATTTTATTTATGATATTTTGTTGTTTAGTACTTGTCTACTTTAAAATTGATTGATTACTGGGTGGTGATCAATGTCATATGTGTCAGGTCCTTCTTAGTGCAGATCGAATCCTGTCGACCGAGTTGCAATGTGGCCACTAGTCTATGTGACTGGACATTGCGTGCATTATGTTAGGATGAGGTGGTGGTCGGAGGTAGTCGACAGGAAACCCTGAGCATAGGTTTCGTGCTATTTTGGTCGATAGGATCTGACACACATGATACTGATCCACCAGTCAGTGATCAGTCATTTGTGAATAAATCTCAGTCCTACAGGAGGCCAGTCGCGGCCCGGATAGCCCAATGGTAACGTCTCTACCTGTGAAGCTGGTTGACACGGGATTTAATCCATCAGGGTGTTGTGACTTTATGTCCGACGTTTTAGCACGTGATTCATCCACCAAACCAATGACGTTCGACCGGTATGAGCAGCCTAGCGTCCTTATTGGTCCTATGTCCGCCTAGACCGTTCACTTGAGTCCAGAACACCAAATACCAGCTTCCAATATGCAAATCGAATATTTTATTTCAGACATACTGGGCATATATATCAATCAAACAGACCACAACGCATCATAAAATAGGAAATAACATTTGTACACAATAAAGCCAAAAAGTGGCTGTGAACGTGGGAGGCAGTAGTTAATAAACTGAACATAGCTTAAGAACAGTAAATCATACAATAATAAATTATAGGTCAAAATAAAGCTTATAATAAGAGGAATATAAATATACCTAATCTAATTATTGAATAGTTATACCATAAGAATGTATAAATAATATTAGTCAATTAATATGTCTCAGAAGTTACTCGTGATTTAATCTCCGCTCGGATATAACACAAGGGATATCAGTTCCCTCAAGATTATAGGTATACCTTGCTGACGAGTACCAAAATAGCACGAAACACAGGTTCAGGGCTTCCTGTCGACTACCTCCAACTAGCAACTCACTTGTATACTTTATTGTATGAAAACTAAAAATATCGATGATTACTGTAATTGCGCATAAAATAACTAGGTGGTTCAACATAAATTTAGCACTTTAGGTTATACTTGCTGCAAAAAAAACAGAAAGATACTATTCAACTTTCGAAACTGAAATCTATCAGGCTTAAATCAATGGATCAAATTGCTGGTTTACAGTTCTACCCAAAGTGATTAAACTCTTTTTAAATAAAATTGTCAAAGTCCTCAATAGAAAACGTTTATTCATATAGTCACCACGAATAAATGTATATGATTTAAGTAATGTATTATCTACTGTACAATCAGTGGCTAGCAAACTCATCGTTAACTATACTATTATGACTTTTGCACTTGTTAATATGTCATGTGATAATGTCGCCAATTATAACACTGATTTATTGACCGGACAAATGACGCATAAACCAATACAAGCATCCTACAATTCTTACTGGACCTCCGGGATAGTAGCTTCTCTTCGAACCCAGCCCGTTCAGTACAGAACGCCAATATATATATATATATATATATATATATATATATATATATATATATATATATATATATATATATATATATCTGAAATATAAGTAATATTTCAGACATACTTAGTTTATATACAAACAAACCAGATCACATCATACCATAAAATAGAAAATAACAATTATACAAGATCAAGCCAAAAATTGTCTGCGATTGTGAGATTGTTACTAATAAATAGGGAATAACTTAAGAATAGTAAATCGTATGATAGTAGTCAATAGGTCAAATAAAGGTTTATAATAAAAGGAATATGAATATACATATAACGTAGTAACTTAATCGTTATACAATAAGAATATATATGATAACGGTCCATAAATAATTCCTGTTGGTTACCATTCATTTATTCTTCGTTAGAATATAACATATACACTTTGCACAATCGACAATAAAAGTTGCAAGGAGCTTTAAACTATTTGATGATGGGAAAAGCAAGGGGGGTACTACATTGTCGCTAGTTTCAAGGGCTTTTAAAAATGATAGTTCATTAATGCTAGGAAAGAATTTACAGTAGAAACATCAACAATGGTAGCGATTCATGTTTTGCATTTGTTTGAATCTTCCCATTGATGCAGTTGATCAGTCTCTTATACTGGGTTCGAGTCTCGGGTTGATCATCAATTATGGGATGTAGGTACATCCAGCCGACGAGTCCCGAACAGGTCGAAATGCGCGTCTTGGATTCCACTGTTACCTACTATCCATCTTTGTTTAGAAAAAATAACAATTATTCTTGTCTCAGAAAGCATTTCACCTCAGTTCAATACTCAGTCACACATTTGCAGGTAGCATAAGTCCCAACGAAACGTCATGTTTCAATATAAAATACTAATAAAAAACTTTGGAATCAACGTGATCGGACATTTTTTCAGATTTACGTGTGTAACTATTGTTGGGTATCAAAAATGTACTCATGTTTTCCAGAAGTTTTGTTGATACATCTCAAACATCTTTCTACCTCGTCCGGTTTTCGCAAATGAACAGTATCACTGCCTTGCATACAAAAACTTACTCTGAGGAAAGAGCACAAGGAGTTGTGAGATTTTTTATTTAGTGAAAAACTTAGTATAGCTCTGTGTAATCATATCTGTTTAATATATTGCTAATTACCCATCATTTCAACTTTTCTGATTGGATGAACAGATACTGTCTTTTGGTTATATCTTATTTTTAATTAGGAAGATATACAAATCATAAATTGTGAAGTTTACGTCGATCCATTCAAGGATGTTGATGAAATGTTAAGTAAAGAACGTGCTAATTACAGTGAAGAAATAAACACCGATAACGCTGATAAAAACGTACATCCGAAGCCGGGTAATCGCCGGGAGGAGGAAGCTCTGGAAGCTGCTGAACGTGCTAAACGCAACAAACAAGATGGTAAGTGTTACTGCGCCGAAGATGTGTTAGGCTACTAAAACTGTTATTCTCATATGATATTCACAATTCGATGCTCTTTAGTTACTAAAATAGATAAAATCAGTTGCTGTGTTTGGTCTATCGCCATTTAGCCGTCATTCATATAGTATAGTTTTCCGCTTATTGTCAATGGAGTTTTAGTAGAAAAAAAACAGTCAATAGTCGCAAAATGCTAGAGGACTCTTGTAATTAGCAGTGATAAGAAGCACATAGCCGTTTACTTGTATTCTGAGTTGTTAATTCTAAAGGCGCGATTATTTTCTTGTTTAGCCAAATGGCCAGCTTTAAACTATTAATACGGATATTGAAGAATAATACTCCGATCTTACACATAATTGTTGTAAATTGTCGAGTTAATGGAAAAAGATAACATTTCGGGGACTGTTCTCCTGTGATTCAGTTTATATTTTTAACGTGTGTTTGTCCTAATATAAGCTTCCATTCAACTCACCAACTGTTGATATCTCTGTTACTACTCATAACGAACTGCTAATTAATTATATACCTGTTACTCAATATTGTAACTGCTATAAAAGAACAAGTAAATTGTTCGCTATCTATTAATATGTATGTACAGTATGCAAGATAATTGGCTGGGCACCTTAGTCCACCATACCAAATTATTATACTATTAGACTAGATCACATTGTACACGGATACACGATTTACAACCAGAGATTGAAAACAAGATTACGGAGAAGAATAATTTATTCACTCAAAGTATAGGTAGCTCACACAGTGTATATAGAGTAAAAATTGAAGTTGTATAAAGACTTGATACAAATCGTAGAACCGGCCTTCCTATCTTCGCCAGCGAACCACTCACAGCTCACAAAAGACGTGACATACAATCATTTGAGTTTTTTACGAATAATGTAAGATACACTGACTACTTTTTCTCGTGTCGTGATCGGAAGTTTTGGATAGGAGTTTTAAGCAAAGCAATCACCGTTGGTATATACCGTAGTAGTGGGGACTAATGTTATTTTTGTAAGGGTAAAATAAAACTTGGCGTGAAAGTTCCAGAAATAATTTCTAGCTTTTGATGATTAGCTTTCTTCAGTATTCAGTGAGCCAGTGTTTCACTTAAATTCCCACCAAAACAAAATTTATGTGGGAATAAAACTGATAAACCCTCAGTAAATAGCCTAACTTCGAGTTCCAATCACCATGGAGCGAAACAGCTCTGTGTGGTAATGGTTTTGACTAGGAAAAGCGATATTAATACCATTAGCTGGAAGCAATTTCGTAATTGGATTGTTGAGTTCTTGTTAGTGTACAGACTGGATCTATCGCAACACAGTTGCTGACTGACTTCTCACCCGGACGCTACATTTCTGGAAATCTCTCTTGTTTTATGTATCTACATTTTCCCATCCAAATCTGATGGATGGTCTGGAGTAAATCCGATTTATACATACATGAGGAAGGGATGATAAACAACAACTAGATAATCAAACAAAAAAAACTAATTCATGAAAAAGAACACAACCCACCTGCTCGACAAAACCACACTCAAGTAACGTTAACCCATTTAAGAATCCCTTTGGTACGAAGTTATACCAGTAGCAGACAATTTATATACTTCATATTTACCAAAAGCTTGCATTCATAATGCTTAGTCTGAAGATCGGATCGCAAAGTGTGGCTGCGATCATATGACGCAAGCCTTCCTCGCATGTACAAATAACACACATGTGTGGAAATCGTAGTAATAGTTATGGACACGTTTACTCTTTTGATATGACAAAAACCTATAACCGTATGTAATCCGTGTTAATGAAAGACGATTCTCCTCCTAATTCTAGCAATCAGAAGAATTATTCGTATTAATCAAGAGAAAGACTTGTTGCTTTATATTATATCACTACAAAAATCCAGTTACTCCTAATTTAGCAAATGGAAACAACGTTGACATAGAAAATGAGTACAAATCAAGCAATTAAACACTACTGTATAGATTTTGTCACTAGTTTTCCCATAGTTTGCCGTCTGTTCTTCTAAATATATGACTATTTATAAATATCATTATCATTTACTTTCAGGAATTGCAAAACAAGTGTATCGAACAGGTGTTGGTAAATTTATTCATGATGTAGATCAATTTGACACTAAAGCTATCACCAATAAGCACGGTAAAGATATTGATTCTAGTCTACAGATGAATGAAGATGTTTTACGTAAGAAGCAGAAACTTTTATTAAAGTCACAGTTAACTGACTTCTCTTCATGGTGATATTATTTTTCGATGGATTTTTGTATATTATCAAAGATATTTTTTTCCTTACCAAATAGTGTTTTGTTATTTTACATGATTCATATCTACATGGCATCTTGACAGTTGAAAATTCCTCAAAAATTGAAGTGAGGATGATGTAGAGTTTTTATATCCCTTCTCAATAACACCCAAAAATATTTATGCACGCGCTGAATTGGCGTTAAATTGTAACCTAGAACTTCGAGAATACGCCTTTAATTTCATATTGGCCGATTCATAAAATATATGCTGTGTATTGTGACACACTGGGAACATCTTCAATAGTTTCGAATTCTCCTTACAGGACTAACAGACTAATTCATAATTGTTACAATAAAGGTATTATGTACACATTGAACATCTGATAAACACAACCTCTCAATTATCCGACGAACGACAAGGAACCAGATATTGGCTAAACAAAGAGTAGATAAACAGTGGAATTCAGCACGCACGTTTCACGTTATTTGCAACTCGTCAGTTGGAAGTACTCGCATCCTAAAGTTGATGCTTACGTCGATACTCGAACCCACCATATATCGCTTTAAACAAGCTAGTGAGTTGGGGTACGCACTAATTCGATCAACGGGTATATTGTTTTTAGTTAATATGGGTTTGAACTCTCATATTGTTGATATTTAGGACTGAATCTCGACTATTCTCTGTTGGTATTGTAGCTCCTGAGTGGATTACTTAAAAATAACCATTCCTTACAAGTTTTATAGAATAGTTGGTAGTGGAATTCGGGACATTCAGTAGATAACCTGTTGGATGTATGAAGATTAAACTAGTTTTATCGATAGAGTTCAAATTCTTATATTCACATTACTAAACTTAGTAGAGATATTATGTAAAAGCTAAAAATGACTTCATTACTATTGATACAACAGTAAATGAAAAGGAGTTCAAGTATATGACTGACTAATAAATGAATTAATCATAAGACATATCCTAATTATGATAAAATTATCTCTTTTATATATACAAAACCATGTAATGATGAATTTACTACAATTTCTTTACTGACAAAAAAACTTAAAAACCATTAATTGTTGAAACATCTCATTATGTTCAATAAAATACAATAACCATTATGAAATACATTACACAATCAGATAGTATTCTATTTATAATTGATCCTTTTAAATAATAAATAGTTTTTTTTTTTAAATAAAAATAAACAAACAAATAATGAACTCAAAATCAACATGAAAATAAATAGAACAAGAAATTAGCCCTTCCTTCCCCTCCCGCAAAAAAAGAAATAACATTTAACATATTAAATATTGTCTGAAACTTGTGAATTCAATATCATAGGATATTGATACATTCGTGAATAGACAGTATTTGTAATTGGATTTATAATTTGTCCAATAAAAGTTTCCACTGTAGATTCAAAACATCTGTAATAAAATTTTTAAAAAAATAGCAATACAATTATTTATCGACTGAGATGGTTAGGCCATGTGTTACGTATGTCTAAACACCAATTACCATAACGCGCAATGCTGACTAGTGTTGAGGATGGTTGGAAGTAAGTTAGGGTCAGCTACACCAAAACGTGGCATCAGTCTTTGAAGTCACTAACTTCTAGTCTAAGCCATGTTGGTAGATGCAGACTACTTTGTTGTGGTCTGTGTGACTATCGTAACCAATGGTTGGAGACTCTTGGTGACATGGTTCAGAATCGATTACAATGACGTAGGTGTATACACTCTGTCTTCCTTTAAACTATGAGATTAAAATCGCTTCATATTTTCCTACGGACTAATTCTTTCTTCCTGTACTATGTACTTATATGCAATTTTCCTTATATATTAGCACCACTGAATTAACTACTTTTATGAATCCGGTGTTCATCTTGTTGTGCTAATGAGGTGTGGCAACTTAGACCGATGCATATATGTGCCTGGTTTTACGTTGTAGCTGACTGACTGACAATTATTCAATGAAGAAAGTATGAGTGAGTGAGTAGCAAATGTACACTATGTGTGAAGGTATTCAAAAAACCGGATTGATACATAGATAGGTTGAAAAATTGTCACATAAATCTCTTTTTAATAAAAAAAAACACCATAATACAAACAATAAACATGTAACAAATTCATCAAATATCCTTACTTTAAATTATTTGGGTGAATACCATGTTTAATCTCTTTGAGAATGTCATCAATACAGGCTGGGATTTGATTCATGTACCGATGATCAGATAAATTCTATATTTTATTTTTATGATGAATAGTCTATAAATTCATTAAAATTTTAACTTACACTTAAATGTATGAGAATAGAAATAAGCTTAGCAACAAGATCCAATTTGTCTTCATCAATTAATTTGTATGTCTGAAAAGAAATTTTTTTGTTTTAATGAACAAAATGAAAAACTACTTTAGCTTTTTATCGCAAGGTGAATTACTGTTAATGTTGGTTAAAAAGTATAAAATAGCTACTTAAAGCACTCCAGCTTATCGAACGCAATTTTAAAAAGATGTGATGTGATCTCCTTCCTGGGAAGATCTGGATAAAATCCAAAGTCTACTCAAAACCTTGAGTAATAATGTAGGTATGTTCAAGACGTGTGTTTCTTGCATTAGATGCAAAATGCTCCTTTATGAATGATCTGCATCATCGCTAGATTGATTGTAAGGTACGGAGTATGTGGATATTATCCTGCATCATTTGGTATGTTGAATGATATATTAAGATGAAGCCTGATATTCTGTCACCGAAGACAATAATGATGAACATAAATTAGTAGAGGATTTGAACTTCACTTTCTGATCTTAAATACTAGACGCCAACTACTATGTTATCAAATAAGTAATTACATATATATGTACAAAATGTAAAGCCCAAAAATATATGATTTTAAGTTAGCTGTCATGATAGCGTACGTAGAGGAAGTGTCATTGTAGTAACATTTAATATTAACTACCAGATCAGTCTTTCGAACTAACATTCAACTGGGCTTCGAAATATGACATCCAACAAATAAAGGATATAAATCGACTATATCCTTTGAGACATAACAGCAAAAATATTGGTTCAGCATAACATTTGAATCCCTAAGTGGGAATTGGATTAAGATCGTTTATCTGATTGATTAGGTTATCGAAATGAACGTGTGTGAATTTTTGAATTTGTGCTGTTAGAGGTATGAAGGCAGTTACCCCTTCCAGTTGCCCACACCGTGGGAGGGTTCTTCTGGAGGCACCTGAGAAAGATATTGGGTTAGGGGTGGTTTTAGTGACCTGAGGTGTGACCGCGGTGCCTAAGGCACAACTGCTTGAGGTCGGTAATACACGACCTTTATGTGAGTATCAGAATAGGGTTGTGGAGATTTTTAAGTTATTGATCGAGATCATGAACCGATTTTAGTTAGGCCACCAGAGAAAACCTGGAAGCACTGGATGGTCGCTTCGTCTTACTGCGGGACTCTACAGCAGTGTGCATCCACAAACCCGCTCGCCGGATCGGAAACTAGGGTCTTCAGTCTCGAGCGCGAATGCCCAACCTACTAGACCACTGAGCCGGCATCCAACAGTGTTAGTATCTAACCACGACCAATCCATGAAATTGCGCGACCTTCTACTATTGTACTGAGGTAGATACCTGTTTTTACCCGACACGGAGTAGCTCCACTAGTCACGGCTTCGCATTAGAACTCCGAGAATTACTTCACGAAGCTAGTCACTACTGAGCACATGGTATTTTCCGTGTTAACACCATACTTATTGGAACTTTTTCGCCAAAGATGGAAATGCGTGGGATAAGGTGAGGTGTGTATTTTTGGGGTCGACCTTTTTTAACCCCACCCTTCCTTATGGGAAGGCAGCATCACTATCATGCTCGTCGTCAGGAAACAACTTACTGCCGTCACACCTCTGTACAGTCAGCAGTACGACTTCGGATTTACTACTTATGGTCTTACCACTCTTCAACCGACCTGTCTGATATAGTAGGACCTCGAGGAACGATTATTCCAGCCAGTATAGCTCGATCGATTCGTCACGATAGGCAAGCCCGATCACCACGTCAAGGTAGCAGCAACGGTCAGGTGGTTTCCTTCGCAGAATTTTTTTCCCATAGATAGGGCTTTCAGATCTAAAGCTGAGTAGAATATTTAAAAATGACAGAACACACTTTTTCAGGATTATTTACAAATGTATACTACGTTTCTGAAGCTTCCAGGCTTTTAATAAGATTTGAGTGCAAGGTTTGGGCACATATCTCGGTAATTGCGACGAAACACATTCGAAGACCAAAGGTTAGTCAGTGACAGATCATCCGATACATGAAACCTTTGTGATATCTTGTAGTGGCTTAGCTTCTTTAATCAATCACCTTGATAACCGTTAGTACATAAATCCCAACAGTGTTTGAATTCAGAATGCAATAAGAGGCGGCGACTATAATTTATTAGCGGATAGCACAGATAACAAAGTTATAATCACATCGAGGGAATTTAGAGCAGAGAGGCTAATGTTTGTGTGCTAGCGAATACAGAGGTGAGTTTATAGTCAAATCGAATCAAGCCACATCTAGGCAAGCCAAAGGCTATTGATAGGATTTGAGCATATATATACATGGGAAAGAGAATGATTCATCGAGAAATATTTAAGCTAGAGAGAGATGTGTGTGTGGGCTATCACATGTGATCAAACGTAAAGGTTTATACATATATGATAATGATCATAATAATACAAAGAAATAGACGAATTGTTACTGTCCGAATAACATTGTCTGTTAAGTAAGTTTGACCAAAACTAACCGAAATCGAAACTAATCGTAAGAGCGTTGCTATAATCTCCTACTTTAGCTACGTGACGTGTGAACAGATAGGATAAACAATTTTGTGTCTCTTGACCCCAAATGCCCTGGTACGGTCGAGAGTGGGGAGAGTTTGCTCTCCCTCTCCAAACGCTCTCACATGGCCACGCGTATACGGCCTCTGCCAGGGAAGTCCTATTCAATGCCTTCTCGTGACGGGGGTAGTGTTTACGAAAAGCGAATGTCCGGTGCATTAACCGGATTTCAAACCAATGGTGCACATGGGCTCCAGTATCCTGCGGGAACGAATGGCGTATGAACCAATTGTCGGTCACCAGCTTCCATGGGACTGCATCTCCTTACGATGCTCCACTGCCTTGTGGATCAGACCTTCAGGTGGCCCCCTAAGAAAACCACCTGCTTCGATTTGGGCACCCGGGCCCTCACACATATCGAATGATATTTGTGTGGCGCATATTTATTTGGTGCCTCCTTGCACCAATATCTGTGTTAAAATAAAAAATAAATTTGTGTCGCTTGAGTGATTAAAAGTTTGGATCGATATGATTTTGACAGTACTTTTCAGTAACAATTTTTAGTGTTTTTAATGCTATCATTTAGCAAGTTAATTTTTGCATTAACTACAATAGTTTTCACAGAATAACGTATAAACCCACTAGATTGCGTTTACTGTCAAAAATCAGCTTTTCAACTTGATTTATGTCATAATAATTATTATGTCAAGGTAGTAGATACGTTCGGGACAGTCAGTAAACTTTACCCACATATTTAATTCGAAAACTTAGCTAATCAGACAAACGATTTTAACCCAGTTTTCGACCAAGAAGTTCAACGTTTTATGTATTTAGACTCATGTTTTTTGACTGATCTTAACTTTCAGATTGCTTATTTTCTTTCTAACAATTTTAAAAACTTATTACTTGTAATTCTTTCATCCGATTAACTATTTCTTGAGCTTCATCATCACAGCGACGTCTCCAGTCGATAACGGAATTTAATTCCACCATGTTATGTTCTTGTGCCATCTATAGGAAAATAAAAATGCGGAGAGACGATTGTACAGCGCACTGCAATAAGTCCGAAACGAAGAAGACATGGAAAATAGAGACTAAACAAAACTGACATTAGTTCGGAAACAGACAGAAAAAACGTCGCATCGGTGGGCATAACGGTTACATCATGAAAATTGTAGCTGTGCAAGGTGGATGTCTGTTGGTAAAACCTAGGATAAGTGATTTGGAACCAATGTAATTGTTGGGTGAATCGTACAATACGAGTTTACGAACAAATAGTTCGTTAAACCTATCGGAAAACCGGCTACATTATTTGTATAGTCGAAGTTTGCATTCAAACCATTATTTTCAGGAAGAAATTGATTCGTATTAGTGAAAATAGATAGGACAAACGAAATAGTTCCTAACATCTGGAGTGAAACGTTCATTAACATCAATAAATTAAAGTGTGTTTTATCTATCTGAATATATTATGTTGAGGATTAAATAGGGTTTGACAGACTTAAAAGAGTTGGGGAGTAACACCTGTCGACTGTAAAAGAATCTAGGAGTAACTAGGAACAGTCGAAAACCTAAAAACAGGAAACGTTGATCATGGTTAGTGTTTGGTTATCGAGTACATTTTTCTGATTTATTATTCTACTTGTTAAACTTCTAAAGAAGAATATATGGCAAATGAAGTGATTAATTAACCTCATGGCAATAATGAGAAAAGGACTGAGCAAAACAACCACATACATTACAGAAACCAAATTATGGATGGAGGACCCGAGATTACTGTTATTATTATCTCACTACCAGGTACAGATTCGTGCAGGTGGTGTCAAGCGATGCATCAAATGTGGGGGCAGATGATATTACCTGGTTGCCTAAACCGAAATAGGTGGGGTGGATTTCGAATCTGTGACGTAATGGTTGAAAGTCGGACACCCTAGCCAATGAGCCAACCGTTCCACAAAGGAAGACTGAGACCGCTGATAGTTTTAAAACTACGGAAAAACGACGTGAAATATAGCTTGAATAAATGTAAAACAAATACAGCACCAAAGATTATTCATAATCCTAACATGATGGAATTATATATAGTAGCCCATACGACTGTATTTTAAAATGTGAGAATTCAAAAGAGAAAAACGATAAAGAAGCTAATATACACATGTGTTAGTTTAATTTGTCATATCCATTAAAAACCATAACGCAAGAAAAATTAATAAAGTGTGGGGGAAAAAACAATGCAAATAAACGTTAATGAGTAATACATTTACAAAGTTTCAAAATTGAAACGATTAAAAAGTATCAGAAAGTAATATGGAAAGCGGAAAGGGTGGCCTAGAGATTAGACTACTCAGCATTTAACCGGCTGGTTACAGGTTCAGATGTCGTTAAGCACATTAACCTATACTTTGTGTATGAATTACTACATTAACATGGAAAATGGTAAATTCGAAATCACCAGATTTGTATTTGGAGAACGATGAAATAATATATTTCCTAGTACATATGAGTAAAATAAATCAGAATCTTCATATTTCTTATCAGACAGTTGACCAGCTCGCGAATCAATCGAAGTTAAACGTGTGAACCATTGGATGCTGACTTAGCGGACAAAAAGACAAGCAGACATCGCGCAACCTGAAGGTGTTCGGTTCAATTTCTAGTGGCTCCATAAGTGCACACTATTGAGGAGTACAATGCTAGGAAAAAATCTGTCCAGTGACACCTGATTCTGAATGCTTGTGTCAATACAGTCAGTCCGTGATGTAGACTCTAAAACTGGACAGTCCTTACAAACCCCTAAAAAATCAGCTTTTGCTGAATACATTAGGTCGTTGTAGAGAATCAATAATATCAATCAATTTTATACTTTACAGACAGTCAAATTTATTATTTAGATCAGTTTCTGATAAAGTAAAAACCATTTGGACAATTTATTGTTTTTCATGACGGAAGATATATCTGAAATTCTTAATGTTACTTATATATTTAAGAATATACAATGGATAGTTAATTTCAAAATGAATAGTTTACAATTAATCATGTTTTCTGCCAAGCAATAATTTCAAAATTTAACGAAAACATGTTTCGCTAAAAATTTAAATCATACAAGTCATTTTATTTTAATGTCACATTTGTATTTTAAAGAAGTGAACTTACAGTCGACACGTATAGAAGTACTTGATTCATATAATGTTTTAATTCTCGATTAATTTTATCTATATTTAATATGAGTGTTGCATAATTATGTTGAAATTGTATAGTGATGTTATTCTGGTTTTCTGAAAGCTTTGAGGATGAAAAATAATTGCAGATTACTAACTTTTGATAAACAAAATTACCTTTATTTCAGCAGTATCATTTAATTGTCTTAAAGTTTCAATTGATGAGCGTTTTCTCTCTAAAATCTTGTGAAGTTTAATCTTTTAAAAATAAGCATAAAATATAAAGGAAGGTATTAAGGATAAATGAAAGCTTCATAACATCACTGAAAAATTTAACTGTCTCTAGGTTTTAAACGTATTTTAAATTTGTGACCTAAGAACGCGGCTTTTTCAAAGGTGTAAAGCAAACCTTCAGATCTTATGTAAAAGTACTTCGTATAACACAGAATTTCTGAAGTGACAATGGAAGCATCATACCTATGAATGTAAAGGTCTTCCCCTCAAATGATGGATATACAAATGAAGTATATCACATGCTGTACATGGAAGCAAAAACAATAAACAGTCCAGACCTATTGAGGGCCTTGAGGGAAGATACATGTGTTCATATTTTGTATTTAAATAACATATATTCAGGGGTGAATCACTAAATGAAGAAGTTAAGTTATCTAATTGTTGTGAACCAGTGCTGAGTGCAGTCGGTTGAAAGAGATCGCAAAATGGATAACGGTTACCAAATCAAACTATGCAACTGTTAGCTGCATATCGATTAGATAAAAGCATGTTCCGTGCAGGATTATGTTGAGGCACGCTGGTTGGCCATTTCCAAACCTACCAGTTAGAGGATACTTGGAGAATACTCTAAAATCTTCTTACGTAAAAATTATAAATATACTAACATTTCTCATATTGTGATTCCCATTTACATCCACTCTTGTTATTTGGAATATAATTACGTCTTTATTCAACAGTGTCTCGATTTGGAGACTTGAGTGTGTCAGTGTCCAAATTTACTAAGCAATAAGAGTAGCGGGGACTTAATAAGAGAACTCATAACAGTACCTGATCATGAAATCGCTAACTAATAGTCTATTCTATTTAGAAAAACCAGTTCTTACTTGGAGATTCTTAGTGATAGAGTTCAAGAGAAATGATAATGCCAGAGATTAATTCAGTCTATATCTTCCCTTAAACCTAAACACTTATCAAAAGATTTATTTTGCTTTAATCTTTTCACTCATTTTATATTCGTTTTTCTTGTCCTCTACTACCATACTGAAGCAAATTGACTCGATGTACTGATGCCCAAGGTTCAATTTCGCTTTGTTATCACTTATCCACCTTTACATTTTTAAATCATTATCACGGACAGAATGAGACGCACAATATGAATCCCACTGATATCCAAAATCTAAAATTACAATAAAAACCTGTAACTGCGAGTAATATTGAGGAAACCAATCAGGGTCGATATATTCCAACAGAGACATGGAAATTCAGTCCTGAATATCAACAAGGGGAAAACACAAACCCTTATGAATGATATCTCATTTTATATACCTTTTGTGTGCATCATTTCGGTTGATTTAACCCTTCAATCATTCCCTACTGTCATATCATCATTAGAATTTCTGTATTTCACCTTGTAAATTTATAAAACAACCAAATTGCTATGAGAGTTTTCTAAAATTAAACCAAGTAAAGGAGTATAAATTAATGAGCTAAAATTACTCCAGAGTATTACGTAGACTGATTTCTTTCCAACTTATCCCTAGTTCTAAACATTTATTGAAAAAGAATTCTAATATTTACGAAAATTTTATCGATACTTCAAACAGTTACCGAGAACGAAGTACAACTCAAAACCTAGCCACATATTGCTATTACATTTAACAATGACTAGATTATCAAGCTTATCATTTCTTCACAAACAAAAAAGGAGATGACTCAATAATAAAGTTAACAGCTCGACAAAAGCGATTATAAAGTACAAAAAAGAACAAGCATATACTTAATAAATAACTTACAATATTAATAAGAAATCTATTGTAAGACTGATAGTCGGTTTTCTGGGAAGATGTTTGTTCTGAACACGGTGATGTTATTACAGAAGGATTATCAAATTTAGGTTTTGGGATTAAAAGATCTCCTGATGAAACTTGTGAATTATTCATCTGTATATGATTTGCACCACATACACTTTCACTTAATAAAGGTCCACAAGTAGGCGAGGATTCTAATGAATTATTACTTATTTTGAAATTTACTTACGAACACAATGTAAACGATTACTAGATGATTCGACCGTTTTATTGATGGTATTTGGGAAGTTAGTATTGAATTCAGATGAAAAAACAGTGACATCACTGTTTATTATATTTTCTTTAAAATAACTGCGAATCTCTGAAAGTGTTACAGAAGGTGGTAACGACTGATTTGGTAAAGGAAAAACATTTTCTTCTGGAACAATTTGACAGCCATAATATCTAGAAGATTTCATTTCCATGTAATCATTTGAAATAATTAACTCATCAACCCAAACAACATAATGTCCATCACCTGGACACGAATTTTGTATCAGTCCAAGATATAAACCCTGCATGGGAGTGTGAAGACTAAATGGACTTAAATCAAATGACATGTACTCACCAAACACATACTCTGATACCAACTGGTAATCGAAGGGGAATTTGAATTGCTGGTGGCAAGCATAATAAAAGATTATCTAAATGTTCTGACGCCATCGGACCAAGAGAACTTGTTAAAATGATGTGCTGTATGTATTGTATATTTTTACGTTTTACTTGCACAGAGTGCCGTTCTTCAGAGAGGAACGTGGCACTGAAACGACGTGGTCTCCCTATGATCCGTCGAATAGTTGACCAATGAACTCGACTTAATTTTCGAGACTTTAAAGTAGGAAAGTATTCCCGTAATATCAGCTGGAAGTCATTAACCCTTAGAAATATTTCCCTGAAGAAAATATAAGTTGATATAAAAACCACATACTTGTCTATGCTCGAATACAACCACTCATGCTTCAACCATTCACAAAACTTAGGGGTGGTGAACATGTTGCAACATATTTTTTGAAGCTCTTTGGGATCTGATAAGCTAGTCGTATAGCATATTATGAATTACATGAGTTCAGAATATAACTCGTATCTGTGCATTCATCGATAGGATTAAAAGACTGAAACTGACTATTAACGAGCTCAGTGCTTTGGGTTTGTATTTCACAATCGTGTGTACCATAGCCAACACCTGCTGAGTTTCTTATACTCATAGTCTTGACGAAAATCTAAAAATGAGAAAACTGACAACATTAACTTATAGCACTTTATAAGACTAAAACATTAGTACCCTCATTTTCAAGCACATTGAATTGGTTGGGAAGCTATTACCCCATGATTTGACACTGATAAGGAGCAGTTGTACCATTTAGCCGATCCGACTCGTAAATATTTCAATTGGATTCTACAGCCAATGTTACTTAATAATGCTTTATAATCAAAGTCAGTAATGGCTATAGTGTATTTCCCTTTTATAAGAAACACAACATAATGTAGAAACTGGCACAAAATTGGATCAGTTCAGACAGCCACATTTCAGATTAACAAAGATCTTTGGCATGTTAAGTACAATACCCAGATAGTCTACATAAACAAGATGAATAATTGGTGATAACTTAAACTGTTTTAAGAGGAGAAAACCATCGTTCAAGATCATTTAAAAAGTCAAGAGTTGTCTCGAAGATTTAAAAAAGAAATTTGTACACAGCAGCAGTATTGTCAACCGGCTACTTAAAACCCGATTTCTATGTGCAAAACTGCCATGTTTAGTTCTTGATTCTTCCATGGTCTTAGCACTCATCCCAATTTTAAAAATCACAAGTGTTTATTATATTTTTCTTCAACTTCTTTACCTTTCGGAAATAGACATGTCTTTAGGATCTTTTGCGGAACTTATTGTTCCCTATTGCTCCCTAGAGAACCACATGACTTTACTTCGTGATAATTATTTATTGTTTTGACAAACGCAACGATAATTTTGCTCAATGCTCTCCTGCCGGTACGTAATATCGTAATGAATACATAAGAATTTTACGGAGAGTGTCAATTATTCGAAGTTAAAAATCATAAAAAAGATTCCGTGACCCAATGTAACGTACTAGAACCTAAGTCTAGAAAAACTTAGTCATCAAACACGACGACCTAGAATTTCACACCATACGAATTTACTTCATAAGCCTTATCAGTAATATCTCGACCTGGCTAAACAAAATAGTTTTCGTTTTAGATAATAACTATATCGAATCAGTTGATTTGCTGTGAGCTTCCTCTTTAAAAAATTTGAAAAGGACAGTTTTACTGTTTACATCTTAATTGAATTTATTTCAGATAAAGTATTCTATTGAAACCGCGCTCGTTTCAAAAAGGCAGTGATTTTTGTACTTGTTGTGATTATACTTGCTTTGGGTACTTATTGCACCAAAAAGCATTCTTGGTCTACTTTAACCAAAAGTACCTTGGTTAAAGTTTGAAATTTTTTGCTAAATTTTGTCCTGGGTACATTTTTTTACACTTGACTAACACTTGTGTTCACATTGTGATCATTTATTGTTTTTAAACCTCTTAAATCGAATTACAATGGTTGGTAAGACTCACAAATGTGGGCAATCAAATTGTTTGTTCTCCGTTGAGGAGGGAATGCAGTGTGACGATTGTAGAAAGTGGTACCACAAAACGTGTACACGACAAAGTCCGACGGCTTACAAAAGATGCTCGAAGCCTAACTCGCATTGGCTTTGTATGTTCTGCTGTACGGATAAAGAGGTACTAATTCAGGAGGCTATGGGCCTATTGGCTTTGGCCTGCAAGAAAAACGATGGCGGAAGCAATGATAATAAGAAAACTGACTGAGAAGAATGCGTCAGTGTAGTAAGTGCTGCTAATGGACCCCTTAAACACCTGAATGTGGTTGACGGGAAAGTGAAATCTCCGTTGACATTAACGAGGAATGAAGTGTCGCTTGATGTTGATATCGGTTGTCATACATCTCTAGTCGAAATAGAAGATCCGGATAAAACTGTCACCATTCCACGTAGTTCAGGTGTGGTTGTTCTGAGTGGCGACAAATGGACTTCGATAAGAAGGAAAAAAATAAGAAGAAAAAGGCTGTGAGCAAAACGCAGCTGGTCAGCAAGACATTAGAAGGGATGTTATCAGAAGGAAAATCCTCACCGCTTGACAAGACAGATCTCTCTGATAGATCAGTCATTTTTCATAAGATAAGAGAATCTTCAGATACTGAACCAAAGGCAAGATTTGAACACGATCTCAATCATGTTAAGACATCAATAAGTAAACTACTCCCAGATACAGTTTCAGGAGTTAGTATTTGTAAGCTTTATAGAATAGGAAAAAGGTGGATTCCGAAAGTCCTCAGAAAAACCGCCTCCTGAAGGTTAAATTCAACACGGTGGAAGAAAGGAACCTGATTCTAAGTAATTCACGTAAACTGATAGGATCCGGAATATATGTCCATGAGGATCTCAGCCTAGCAGATCGTATTAAGAGACGAGCTGCAGAAGCGGAAATAAACGAGCGTCGCTGAAACGGTGAAAGAAACCTCGTTCTTAAGGGTTTTCAGATTGTAAAAGTTCGGAGCAAAACGATCCCCAAGCCACTCTGGGTGGCAAGGAAAGCTCTCCACAGACTTAAAAGTGTGCTACACAAATGCTCGCAGCCTAATAAATAAAATGGCGGAGCTGAAGTCAGTGGTGGATAAGGAAAACCCGAACGTTATCGCTGTCTCGGAAACTTGGTTAACGTCAGATGTATTAGATAGTGAAATCCAGTTGACTGGTTTCATAACCAGTAGGGCTGATAGATTAAACCGAAGGGGAGGGGGTGTTATTCTGTACACGAAATGTACCCTAACCATAAGATTAGCTGAGACAGTAGCACATGTTTCAGGGACATGTGAACTGGTGAGATGTAAGTTGAAATGCCGATGGCAAGATATTGAATTAGTTGTAGGATATCGCAGTCCAGAATGTGTAGCAGATGATTTTCTCCTAAGTAAACTTAAGTCCTGGTGTGACAACGGTAAAAGTCTTGTAGTAGGCCCGTCCCAACATATGGAAAGCAGATATGCAGGCAATTAACTCCACAGCATCGGCTGAAAACTGAGAAATTGACTCAAAGGCATCAGTACAAAAGGCATGGACTCTATTCATGGAGTTATACAATCGGGTAACTCAACCATACATACCCTGGACTGTCCCAAAGAAAAAGAAGCACAGACATACCTGGATAGGACGGGATATTCGACGTTTACTAAGACAAAAGAAGAAATGCTGGGACGTTGCCATCTGCCTTGGTACAGCAGGTACGATGAAACGCTACAGATCGATAAGAAACTAGTGTATAAAAAAAATTCGGGAAGCGCAAGGAAAATATGAAATGCAGCTGGCACAATCTGCACTCAAGCAGCCCAAGAGGATATGCTCGTACATAAACTACAGAACAAGGTTTCTTCAATGGAAGTGAATCTGAAATGATAGAGGAAGATCAGGAAAAAGCAGAGGCTATGGCTGACTATTTTGGGGCAGTTTTCACTCAGGAACCTTCTCTAGAGAAAGAACCAGACCCAAATATAGAGTCAACAAACCAACTGCTTAAGGCTCTTAGCACCCTAAACATGGAGAAGTCAACAGGACCAGATGAACTACACCCCAAAAATCTTGAGACATATTGCCCAATATACCACGGCCCCACTGACTGTGATATTCAATATGTCACAACCAAGGTGTGTTACCTATGGACTGGAAGGACGCAATCGTCACTCCCATACATAAAACAGGTCCATGAAAATTTCCATCGAATTACAGACCCGTAAGCCTCACCAGTGTTGTAATTAAAATACTGGAAAGAATAATCAGACGGACCATAACGGCATTTATGAAAACCAATAACTTGCTGAACATGGCACAACATGGTTTTAGAAAGGGTCTATCCTGTACGACGAACCTCCTTATAGCAAGGGAATTCTGGATCAATGCGCTAGACAACGGAAACTCAGTGGATGTTTTATGCATAGATTTCAGTAAGGCTTTTGACAAAGTGCCAACTAATAGATTGCTATTGAAGTTAGAAATCCTTGGTATTGCCGGACCTCTTTTAAAATGGATTAACGATTTCCTAGTAGTTCGTAGGCAAAAAGTAAGAATAAATTCCAAGTGGTCCATCTGGAGACCAGTACTTAGTGGAGTACGTCGAGGTTCCGTCTTAGGTCCTTTACTTTTTATAATGTACGTTAATGATCTTACAAGTATAGTACAGTCTCCAATGTTATTATACGCTGACAATGTAAAAATTTGGCAAGTAATAACTGGAGATAAAGACGCATTTACTCTTCAGGCGGACTTAAATAATATGGTTAACTGGTCTAAAGAGTGGCTGATATCTATCGACGCGGAAAAGTGTGTCTACATGCACTTGGGGGATTCCAAGGGTAATACATACAACATAGGGGATGTGTCATTACCCGTAGTTCGGTCTCATAAGGATCTAGGAGTGACAGTGAGTAATGGTCTTAAGACGACGGCTCATTGCCGGGAGGTTGCAGCCATGGGGTTTCGAACCCTCTGGGCTTTAAAAAGGACATTCACTAAGTTTGATACTACAATGTTCACCACAGTATACACATCCTTAGTGAGAACTTACCTAGAGAAATGCGCTCAGGTCGCAAGCCCCTGTTTAAAAGGTGACTCGGACATATTAGAAAACGTACAGAGGGCAGCTACCCGTGCAATTCCGGAACTCCGGGATTTATCATACAAAGAGCGGCCTGAAAAACTGGACCTCTTTACTCTGTCCTATCGCAGACTAAGGGGAGATCTAATTTTGATGTACAGAATACTGAGAAATGATTTCGGACCTAACTTATTCTCTCTCTTTCTTCCCACTAGATCGAGACACCTCATAGGACATAGCAGGCAAGTAGAAAAGCCAAGAACGAACAAAATACCCGTGGCATACATGCTTTCACACTGCGTCATCATTACTTTGAGCCTGCTGCCGGGAGCAGTGGTGTCCTCACCTTCAATCGACTCTTTCAAGAGAAGACTGGACACTCACAGAAGCACACTAGAAAAGGAGTAATATAGGCCGTAGGCCTTCTGTCCTTACTACACAAATCTGAATCTGAAATCTAAGAGTATCGTTTTTGTTTCCAAAGTAGTTTGTCTTTAGTACTTTTGAGTACTTTATTTCTGTTGGCTCTTTTTGTTCAAACAACTTACACTTTTCAACTTTCTTTTGGTCATCAATTTCTTTTGTCTCTAGGTGTTATAGTATCTAGTTTTTTTTATAAAATCCCCTGTTTGACGGCTGTACAGTGCAAGAAAAGCAATCGCCATCACCTAGGCCGTCGACATCCCGTTGAAAGCGGCATGCAGTGCGAATAGTGCAGAGGATGTTACCACGAAGTTTGCGTGGATCTAACGCCTGTGGCCTTCAAATGGTTTTGTGAGGACTGTTGCGTATGGATTTGTCAGCAGTGCTTCCCAAATGCAAAGAACTTGCTGACCGAGGCCACTTCAATGGTTAATGCTGCTAAAAAGCGTATTATCAAAAAAGGTTGAAACACATCGCTCTGTCGACACACAAATTTATGTGAAGCCACCTCAAATAGGCTCGGTAACAGATCACACACATCAATCAAAGGAAAAATGACTGACTTTAAAGAGGTTTATCCAAAATAAAATCTAAAGATAGGAATTTTTACTGTCCTCCGTCCTCCAAATGGTAGTCATCAGAAAACGCCTAAGAATCACAGTCGCAATGCTAGATCTGCTTCTGGCAGGTTGTTGTAACGTGTGTGTGACTGCAGGTTATTGATAAGCAGCGTTATATCGATCGATCGGTTACAGTGACACGTAAATACGTACGAACGACCTAGTGTCCTGATTGGCCCTGCTTCCCTGTCTACCCCAGCCAGTTGAGTCCAGAACGAAAGTCACAGCCTCTGAGATATGAATCATTATATTTCAAACACACTCTGTTTATATACTAACTAAGCAGACCACATCATACCATAAAAATAGGAAACAACATTTACACAATATTAAACAACTGAAGCAAATATCGACCAATAGGAAATGTACATTTAACGTCCAAGGACACTATTCGACTTGACACGATAATTATTGGCACATTCCTCTGCATACCTAACACAGGGA